AGCCAGTCTATGCTGGTTATGTGACTTGTCTCAAGACAACAAAAAAAAAGGTTTGAAAATTCAGTTATTTTTTATTATATTTAAGTGCATACAAACATTATTTAGATAACAGGTGTTCTCTGTATTTGGCATTTATTTGTTATTTTATATGTTGATTGTAATAAAATAGGATCAATATAGATCAGTTTGTGTCATGGACAATGTAGGTCAACTAATTATTTTGAAGGGAGCCATGACTCTGTTCTCTGAACGAGCATCCTCTGAACGAGCATCCTCTAGGATTTTTTTCACTGCAAAGTAGCACTATAAAAACTAAAGAGATATGTCTGAAATTTTTTTTCCCAGTGGAATATTGGATAGGTCAGATAAGCCGGATGTGGAGCCGCATACCTTTAATCTCAGCATTCGGGAGGCAGAGGCAAGCAAGATCTCTTGAGATAGGCCAGCCTGGTCTTCATAGCAAGTTATACGCCAGGTGGGGCTACAGGGAGACCCCATCTCAAAAAAATAGTTAAAAATGTGTAAGAATCAGAACCTTTGCTCCCTTTTTCCCAAAGTGGGAAATTTGGATAGGCCTAACAGCTCTGACCATTGTTTTTAATGTGTGAGCATTTCTGTGTTCTGTTATCTTCTTCATCTTTAAAAGATACTTAGAGCATTTTGCTTTTTTTTTTCTCCTCTGAATTGTAAAGACTGGAGTAGTATCAGAAATGTACCTCAGTATTTAACTTTAGAAAGTTTTTCTATTGTTAAACTCTTCATAATGGAGAAGGTGGGTGGGTTTGTGCAAAGGCCTGTAAGTTGAAGGCCTCTATCTACTGTTTTAGTTATGTAATATAATTGATGACATATTTTTCTATATAGTTACTTAGTGGAACACACAAAACCATATAACTAAGTGCCAAAGAAAGTATGAAACTAAAGAAAACCTATCCTTAAAGAGCTTTATAATGAAAAATAACGATACAAAATGGCAAATATACTGTTTCAGCATTATGAGTCTTGTGCATTATTGTGAGACTGCTTGTGTTAAAAGATTGGTTCCTTTCAGGTGTTAATGATATATAGCTTTTTCAAATCATTTACTTTGAAGAATGGAATTATATGCGCTATTCATTCAAAGGCTTCCAATTGTTGGGAAAATTACTCTGCTTAACTTAATCTTATGGGTTGGGTAGGAGAAAAATAAGAACTTCATTAGTATGTTATTTTCCTGTTAATATACAGATTTATTCAGATGAGGGAATTGAACTTTAAGGAACAGAAACCTGAGGTTTTACATCCTTAGTGGCAAACAGGAAACAGAGAAGAAACTTAAAGTGGGACAAGACTGATCTCTCAGAGCTTGTCCCCAAACAAGGGTACATCTCCTAGAGATACAATGACCACCCTAAACAGTGCCACCAACTGGGGACCATATACCAAGTGTTCAAATCCTTGAGCCTATGGGACACTGCTCATTCAAAACCACCACAGAGACTGTGGAAGAGGTTCCAGAAAACATGTTGGAGAACAGTGTTAATGAACTTTGTGCACGGGTAGTTATGTGTATACATTTGTGTGTGTGTGTTTTTTTTCTTAATGATAGTGGTTGGCACTTACCACGGTTCCCAGGACCAGCCTCATCAAGTGACTGGTAACCACCAGCAGCCTCCCCAGCAGAACACTGGATTTCCACGTAGCAGTCAGCCTTATTATAATAGTCGTGGTGTATCTCGAGGAGGTTCCCGTGGTGCTAGAGGCTTGATGAATGGATATCGGGGTCCTGCCAATGGATTCAGAGGTAAATAAATTCTGATGACCTTACAATTTCACCTTCTTTCCTGATATATAAAATAATAAAAATTGGTCTCATCATTTTTAGGAACAGTTAGTTGCTCTTTCTGAATTAATCTTAATTTATAATTTAAACATTTCAAGTGTATTTTGATAGATTTTTTTTTTTAAATGGCAAAATTAGGAAATAAAAATTGCTAAATTACTATTTAAACAGATGTGATAAGGACAATTAGAAATGAGTTTTTAATAGCTAGTATGGCTTATACTTTTCTAATTCTTCCCTTTAAGAAAGCAAGAATTTCTTATAGGGAAAAGAAAGTTATTTATTTTTTGTCCTGTGTTTTAGGAGGATATGATGGCTACCGCCCCTCATTCTCTAACGCTCCAAACACTGGTTATACACAGTCTCAGTTCAGTGCTCCCCGGGACTACTCTGGCTATCAGCGGGTATGTACATACAGAATGGATTTCAGTAACTAAGGAATTTGGGGTTAATTTATTGTGTCAAAGATATTTTGTTACAGAAAATGATGCTTTTTTATTTTTTAAAAGCAGTATCTAGATAGATAACAGTTATAGTCTGCTAAAAACAATTTTCAAAAATAAATATATCAAAACATTTTCGAGCATAATGGAAATACAGTAATTATAGAATTAAGTTTTAGCTGTAATACACTGAGCTGTCTAAAAGAATAAGAAGTTGTGTATTCTGCAAGTATTAGGCTCTAAGATCAGAGATAAATAGGTAAACAAAATACCCTTTGTTTTCAATACTAACAAGCTTGTCTTTTAGGATGGATATCAGCAGAATTTCAAGCGAGGCTCTGGGCAGAATGGACCACGGGGAGCCCCACGAGGTAATATTTTGTGGTGGTGATCCTAGCTTCTATGTGGAGCTTCTGTTCTGGCCTTGGAAGAACTGTTAATAGTCTGCATGTAGGTTACATGTTAGGAGTACATTTATCTTTTCCAGACTTGTTGCTAAAGATTAAATGAAATGCTCTGTTTCTAAAACTTCATTTTGAATCCAAATTTTACTTTTTGAATGACTTTCCCTGTTACTGTCTTGAAGCCCAGAACATTTTCTCTGCCTCAGAAAAGTGTTTTTCCAACTGGAAATTTATTTTTCAGGTCCTAAAACCTGCTAAATGTTTTTAGGAAGTACCTACTGAAACTTTTTGTAAGACATTTTTGGAATGAGATTGAACATTTATATGAAATTATCCTTTCATTTTTGAAACATGCATATTATATTTTGGGACCAGAAACACTTTAATGGCCAGAGAAGCCACAGGTACATTTAGAGAACCATTTAGAAGTGGTAGAACTAATTGGAATTTGAATACCTTTTGGATCAGTTAGTGATCTGAATATCAAATTACTTCTGACATTTAAGCAGAACCCTCAAATTTTTACGAACTTACTGAGTTACACTTAAAAATTAGAAGTTTAAGAGTATTTTTGTTTCGTTTGTCTTTTAGTACTGGAAAAATTTTCTGTTGGACAGGAAGTTAATCTGTTTAACAGTTACAGTTAGCATTTCATATAATCTGAAGTTCTAAATGGTTCTCTGATTGAGGGAGGTTAAAGGATAGGATTCTTGTAGTTGCTGGTTGGCCATAACATGTATAAAATGTATATTAAGGAGAAATTGCAAAGTGCTTTGATTTGAATGTTAGTAGCAATTGGCCAAAAAAGCTACACTTTTTACAAAGAGTAATGGGCCACATGGGAATTACTGACTTGAAGTATCAAAAGGTATTTGCATGTTAATGTGGGTTATGTTCTTCTTTCCCACCTTGTAGCATATTCTATGAAAGTTGAGTTAACTGATATAGCAAAAATATCTGTTTTAACAGCATGTAAAATTTATTTTACCTGTTACAAGTCATAGAATTTTGAATGTTATATAGCTTCTTTTTAACAGTTTAGGTAATAAGGTCTGTTTTCATTCTGGTGCTTATATTAATTTTGATAGTATGATGTTACTTACTACTGAAATGTAAGCTAGAGTGTACACTAGAATGTAAGCTCCATGAGAGCAGGTACCTTGTCTGTCTTCACTGCTGTATCTATTCCCAACGCCTGATGACAGTGCCTGGCACATAGTAGGCACTCAATAAATACTTGTTGAATGAATGAATGAATGAGTACTGGTGGAATACTCCATTAGCTCTACGCTTCTTTTAGCTAGAGAACATGAGCAAATTTTCTCATGACAACTTCCAAGACAGGTGAAACTTGAACACTGAAGAATTGACCTCTTAAGCCTAATAATGTGGTGACAGGCTGCCCACATGCTTCTTGACTTCAGATGCAAATCTGCTTGAAGGCAAAACAAGTAATATTTGAAAGAAAAATCAAATGCCATTTTTGTCTTCTAGGTCGTGGAGGGCCCCCAAGACCCAACAGAGGGATGCCGCAAATGAACACTCAGCAAGTGAATTAATCAGATTCACAGGATTATGTTTAATCGCCAAAAACACACTGGCCAGTGTACCATAATATGTTACCAGAAGAGTTATTATCTATTTGTTCTCCCTTTCAGGAAATTTATTGTAAAGGGACTGTTTTCATCCCATAAAGACAGGACTATAATTGTCAGCTTTATATTACCTGGATATGGAAGGAAACTATTTTTACTCTGCATGTTCTGTCCTAAGTGTCATCTTGAGCCTTGCACACGATACTTGGATTCCTCACCCTTGCTTAGGAGTAAAACATACTTTATGGGGTGATAATATCTCCATAGTTACTGAAGTGGCTTGAAAAAAACAAGTTTGACTTTTTGACATTGGATAAAATCTTCAAATCATCCCTAGAGTTACTCAGTGGTAACTGACAAAACTAAAAACATTTCCCTTGAAAGGAAGATGGGAGGAGTGGAGTGTGGTTTGGCAAAACAACTGCATTTCACAGCTTTCCTGTTACATTGGAGCACTGACCATTTAGAAGCATACCAAATTATGCATGGGTCCTTAATCACACACGTAAGATTGGCTACCAGCTTTGACATGGCATTATTCATCTGGCCAAACGACTGTGATTAAAAACACATGTAAATTGCTTTGTATCAGCTGATACTGTATAAGACAAAGCCACAATGAAAATTAGGCTTTGATTGGCACTTTTTTGAAAAATATGCAACAAATATGGGATATATCTGGATGGGCCGCTTCTGTACTTAATGTGAAATATTTAGATACTTTTTGAACACTTAACAGTTTCTTTGAAACAGTGACTTACATGAGGATTGACACTGTCATCCCTCATGATATGTGCATTGTCATCACTAATACTTGGATCTTGCTGTATTCCCTAAATTGGTACAGGTACCGATGAAAATCTAATGGATAATCATAACACTTTGGTCACATGATTTTCCTGCAGCCTGAAAGTTCTTTAAAGAAAAAGATACCCAATGCCTGCTGCTACCACCCTTCTAAATTGCTATCTTTTGAAAAGCACCAGTATGTGTTTTAGATCGATTTCCCTGTTTTAGGGAAACGACAGACAGCAGCTTCAGTTCTGATGGTATAAGCAAAACAAATAAAACGTGTTTATAAAAGTTGTATCTTGAAACACTGGTGTTCAACAGCTAGCAGCTTCTGTGATTCAGCCCACCCATTGTTAGTGTCACAGATTTTATGGTTATGTCCAGCAGCTATTTCTGTAGTATTCATTTACTTTTTGTCTAGTTTAACCCTAATTGAATTCTCCTTTTCTCATGGAGGCATTTACATTCAAAGTGGAGATTCTTTGCCTTAGATACATAGGGAAAGTGTCCAGTTTGATGGAGATGGAAAGTTTGGTAGTGACTTAGCCATATGTTCTGTGTTGGAAATTGTGCTAGCAGTTTGAGCACTAGTTCTGTGTGCCTATGAACTTAATGCTGCTTGTTGTCCCATTCCATTTTGAATTCATGGAGAATTAATCCCACCTGTTAAGCAAAGGCTACTAAGTTAATGGTATTTTATGTATAGAAATTAAATTTTACTTTTAGCCTTTAGCAAAGGAATTTTTTCCAGCAGGTGTTCAGCTACTTAAAAACAAAAGTGAAATTTTTCTCAAACATTCATCATTAAGACAACTGGAGTTTTTGTTGGTTTTGTAACCTACTAAAATTGATAGGCTGTTGAACATTCCACATTCAAAAGTTTTGTAGGGTGGTGGGTAATGGGGGAACTTCAATGTTTATTTTAAAATAAATAAAATAAGTTCTTGACTTTTCTCATGTGTGGTTGTGGTACATCATATTGGAAGGGTTTTTTGTTTACTTTTGCCGAGAGTGTTTTGCCAGCACACCTCCCCTTGTGTGCTTTAAATGCCATCTGCCTGGGATGTACCACAACCATATGTTAGCTGTATTTTAGGGGATGGATAAAATATTCGTGGCTTATTGAATAATCCCAAGATGATGTGTACTCGAGAACTAAATTTGCTGTGTAGAAAATTCGTGTTTAAAAATCAAAATTGAAGTAAAATAAGTTATTCATGCAGTATTCAATAACAGTTCAGAGACAGGATGTGGAGAATGCTTTCTGCGTTTCAGATTTCTGTGCTTTAGTGCAGATATGAATGTAAAAGGTGTTCGTAGTTTGAATACATCTGTAATTCTTAAAAGCATTATTTGTTTTTTTTCAAAACATAATTAGGCAACATTCTTCCATCACAGTTTAAATGTATGTCTCAATTCAAACCATGGTTTTTAAAGGAATGTCTCACTGGGCAGAGAACTAAAGTAGTTCTGTTGAGATCTGAATCTTGGTTCTCAGTATTCTGTATAATATGTAAATGCTTGTCTTAGATGCAGAAGGCCTTTTTTTTTGGTCCAATGCGTATTTTAGCAGAGGCACAAGGAAATGATTGTCATACATGTTTCAGTGTAGCAAGACAACATATAAAATACTTTTGTACATGTGCAATTACCAGTCATCTATGTATAATGAAACTTTTTAAAAAAAGCTTTCATAAAGGTAGCATGTCATTGATTTCTTTGGTAAGGGTCATTTTATTACCAGGTCCTAAATATTCTAAAGAATAGAGAAAAGTCCCCCCCCCTTTGATCAGTGTATCTTGATATTAAAACATGACCTTTTAATGATTTTAGCAAATTAACTTCTGTAGTTCTTTTATCTACACACACAACACACAGAACACACACACACAAAACACACACAGCTGTTTTATAGGGGCATATAGAAGACATGAGAATGTGTGCTTATTCTCAGGTTCACTAACTAAGGTGCTTAGCTGACAACCAGTTCATAAAATGTAGAATATAGTTGAGCAGCAATCCTGTGTGTGCTAGGCAGTTTATATTCATTATATTTACCACGGTACATCTAATGAAGTGAAATAGGTGTAAATAAACACTGAATTCATTTTCATTTCAACCTTAAGCTCCTCGATCTGTATTCCACTTGAGTTCTTAAGTAATCTTAGTTTTATTGACTATAAAAGTTATGCTGCAAAGAATCAGTATTGTCCTTGAGCTTGTCCTTTTTATGGAGTTATTGAAGTGGGGAAAACTCCCCTCAAAATGAAATAAAAGCTCCTCTTAGATAACCCTTTCCTCTTTTGAATTCTATAGACACTGGAAAAAGATGAATAATGTTTTAAATTGTTAGATTAAATTATATGAAAACTTGATTCCTCATTGTCTTTGAGCAAAGTTTTTGTCTGTTACATATACCAAAACTCTTAAATGCTTCTTGTGAGAGAAGAAAAGACTTAAATATGAGTCTGATCTTTTTCTTTTTTTGAGACAGGGTCCCTGCATCCTCAGCTGGCCTGGAACTCACTATGTAGAACCAGGCTGACCTTGAACTCAGAGATCTGCCTGCCTCTGCCTCCCAAGTGCTGGGACTACAGGCGTGCGCCACCACGCCCGGCAAGTCTCATCTTTTAAAAGAAGCAAGTTAGACTCAGTCTTCACTGCTAGAAACAACCTATTCTGAAGCTTAACCAGTCTGTGCAGCAGCCTCCCGTTCTCCCCTTCACTATTGCCATTGAAAGAACAAGCAAGTTTGTCTCTAATCCACCAAAGGCAGCAATATATTTGTAAATACTAGCTTCCTCTCAGTTCTATGTTTCTATTAGGGAGATAGCCTGGACTTACTTTGGGTGTCCTCTGCTAGCCATTCAGTGGTAACAAAAGTAACCAGTCAGAGCCACTGATGTTGTGACTCAAAAGTACAGTAAATTGCATGATGGAATAGTGTAGTTAATATGAATGTGAAGGCCATGACAATGTGACCTGCTTAAAATGATCAGGAAAGACAATGGAAAGATAATTGAACTAAGATGGATGAGGAATAGGGCGATAAAAAGCTCCAGGGACTGCTGTCTGGTTTACGAATTAGCAAGATCAGGCTGGGGGAAGGGGCGGGGCAGCTTTCTTTAATGTTTAGTTTTTGTCAGTATTTGGGAGACATTAAATGTTTTTAAATAGTTTATTATTGTTTGGGAGTGGAGATAGTGAGCCATCCAATAAGCTGCCATTTAAAAGATCCTCACTGTAATGTTTGAGAACAAAAGTTTGATGGGTCAAAATCTAGAGGGCACATTTTTTTGATATGGCATCATCTACTCTTGAGAATTGTTTGCAGCAAACAGGATAGTGGTGAATGAATTTCAGAGATTTTCTAGTACCACTGTTTTTGTTCTGGGCCTTGGTTAGATGACCTCATCCAATCCCACAGTTTTGAAAATAATCAGTTTTTACTACTTTGTCCAGAAATAGCTAACTCCCAAACCCCTCCAACTCCAAACTCATTCTGAAGTTGTTGATAAGAGGACCATGAAGTGACACGCAGGTAAAGCCATTTCAAGACAAGCCTGACTACCTTACTTTGACCCCTGGGATCCAAATGGTGGAAAGAAACAACTCCAAAAGTTGCCTTCTGACTCCACAGTTTTGGTGGCTTGCCGATGTGTTCCATCCATCCATAAATGTTAAAAAGAATGAGTGTAATGTTCCCAATTGACGTGGTATTCTACAACTGCTTTCTATCCCTTCGGTTGATAGGCACAGTAAGTTGAATTTCATCTTGGTTTTCTTTTCTAATCCTTAAGTAGAACCATGAATTAATCATATGGTTCTGTCATGGAAGTCTTCAGAGCCTGGATTCAGCACTGTGCCCCTATATCCCTTGCATTCTAGACCAGAACTACAATAAATTGTGACAGTTGTTTTTTGTATAACATCTAGGAGTTGGTTCTAGTTATTGCAGTCCCTCAAATTTCATTGTTTTTTTCATCACAACTGAAATTCCAGGTCTGGTCCATTGTTCGTCTAGCTACAGATATTTCTCCAACTTGCTCATAATACGTCTAAACATTTAGAACTGAAGTAGTATAGCTTTCTGAGAACTAGAACCGTTTTTGGTTGCATCTGTCAATGTTTGGCATAACGACATTTTATTGAATGAATGGGAGGGTAGTTTGGTTATTAAAATTGGAAGTGGCTTGACTGGGGAAAATAAGGGTAAGAGAAAGTTCGGCTTTGAACATTAGAGCTTGTATCTAAGAATGTTGGATATTCTTAATTGAAGTTCATTCACTTCGTTCCCGAAAGAATGCAGAAATACATACTGGTAACTTGTGTACATGGTTGGATGGGCCTTAACACGGAGGTAACTGAAGAGCAGAGTCCCAGGGTTGGTTTTGGAAGAGCTTTAGTTCGGGGTTCTGAAGGGAGTCTAGGTACAGCGGCCGTAGTCGTGGGTATAGTTTCTTGGTTTCTGGGCAGCCTCACAGCGCTGCGGATGGATATTAAGCGAAATGAATAAAACAGTTCTACCTACTTTTCATCTTGAGATTAAAACGGGGATCAGTAAAACAACGCTTGGAACAACCGTTGGCCTCTCGCATAATCTGTCCACAGTATCTTCTAACACCAGTAGCTCCAGCTCAGTGTCAGGTGCTGGGCTTGCGGATATCCAGGTGCTTCATTCCGCCCTGCGTTAGCAGGTATCAGCAGAGAAGTGAATAACGGAATAACGCCCAGCGGGGCAGCTATGGCCACCAGAAACTAAAATGCGCCGCAGTAGCGGAGGTGCGTGGTGACTCCGCCCTCGGGACCTTAGACGTCATCACTCAGCGTCCAAACTGTGGAAGGTCCCACCGCGCTTGACATCCGTTTGGTGCGCTTGCGCACGTGCTGTCTTTCCCCTACCTCTATTCGCAACGCACGAGGTGTAGGAGTGGGTGAGCCGGGCGAGCTCAGCTGGTGGCGGGCGTTCGCTCGCTCGTGCGCACGCACTTATCTGGAGCTGCTTGGTACACCCACGTGTACGCGTGCGGGAGGCTGGGGTCCGCCGATCCAGTGCAGGTATAGGGGCCGGGGGGGGGGGGCGCTGCGACGGACGCGGAGGTGGGCCTCCGAGCCCTTTCTGCGCCGCTGGGCTGGCTCCCAAAGACTATCTTCCTCTCCCGGCGGCACTACATACAGTCGTCCCTTGGTGCTCGCACGGACACGCTGGGGGCTGCCTTCTCGAGTGCTCGCGGCTCGTTTCGCTTACTCGGGGACCTCTAGTTGGGAGAGTGGAGAATGAATGGGCGGGTGTCTCAGTTCCTGCTTGCAGACCTAAGCTTTGAACTGAGGCAGTCAGAACCCAGATCTCCCCGGTCGTTCATTTATACCCTACCCAGTGGTCTCATTCAGAACTTTGCTTTGACAGAGTGCTCCAGGTGATTCTGGCAGAGTGCTGTGTGTACAGGAGTAAATACAGCTAAATGAAAATTATGCACCTTTTTTTTACCCCCACCCCCAATCAGTGCTTTCCTCCTCTGTTAGGTCTTCCTTGGCAACTTCTGGCAACAGTAATCTTAGACCATTATTAGATTTCTTACTCTAGCGGTTGTTTTTACATCTAATTAGATTTACCTGTGTGTAATTTCTCATTTCTTTCCTTTACACAATCTCTGAATTAAAGCTTGTAGTCAGTCAGGGGCCTTTTCAGGTAATTCTAGGATTCCCGCAGTCACTACAACAAAAGCCAGTCTCCAGTAGGTTTTGATTCACTTTTGTGGGTCTTGATGTAACTGACAACATAAGGCTTACAAGCTGAACTAATTGGCAAAGGAAGGAGCTCATGCTTTGGAGTTGGCTGACTTAAGTGTGAGTCCTGTCATTTTCCTGTTTTGAGATACTTGATTTTTTGTTTGTGTCTTTTTTTTTTTTTTTTTTTTTTTTTTTTTTTTTTTTTTTTTTTAAAAAAAAAAAAAAAAAAAAAAAAGAGGACGATAAATCTTTCACTGTGATATATCAAAATAAACTATGTAGACCAGGCTGGCCTTGAACTCACAGAGATCTGCCTGCCTCTGCCTCCCGAGTGCTGGCCATAGTTGATTTCTTTATACTGCTTTTCCCTTATAAACAGGGACTTTCTATTAAAACATGTTAAAAATCGATCTTTGGGTTAGGTTAATATACTAACAGTTAATATAAAGGTCAAAAAATGAACTTTGTGTTTAGAATACAGCGAGCACTGGAGTTTCTAAGTCACTTTTACACCACTTTTACATTGTGGAAATGTAGTTGATATTCCTCATGTTTCCTTGGTGGATTCATTGTGATAATGGTAAAATATTTTATCATAGGTAATCACATAACTTTTGCATTCTATTTTATTTTGAGGGTACTAGAGAGATTAAGCTCAGGGCTTCCCATAGCTAGGCAAGTGCTGTACAGACTCCTAGCCCATTCAGTAACTTTTGAGGTCTACTTGTGCTGAGCTCTTAATAAGGATTTTCCTTACTGAAGGAAACACATTTCATCATAGAAATACTTGATTGCTTTCCCTTACTTTATTAGTAACAAATGTGAAATCAAATATTTTAATTATGGCTTTGTGTGTGTGTGTGTGTGTGTGTGTGTGTGTGTATGTGTGTATGGGGGGGTTGCTTGTTCCATGTTTGTGTGGAAGTCAAAGGACAACTTTCAGATGTTGGTTCTCCTTCCACTATTTGAGTTCTGGGTCTCAAACTCAGGTTGTCAGGCTTGGCAGTAAGCGCCTTTACCCACACGTGAATTTTGAAGAAACCAAACCCTAAAAAACAAGGTCAAAATAAAAATCACATCATTAAGAAATAGTTACTTTATAATTTGGTCTTTTTTTCCAGTCTTTTTTTTAACCCCCTTCTTTTTTTTCTTTTTTTTTTAACTGTATGTATGCATCAAAATGGTATTAATAGGACTGGGAATATGGCTCAGTTGATAGAATGCTTGCTTGCCTAGCATGCATGAGACCCTGGGTTTAATCCCAGCATGGCATAAAACCTGGTATAGTGGTACATATCTATAATTAAAGCATTTGCCTCTAATCCCAGCACTTGGGAAGTGGAGGCAGGAGAAACAAGTTCAAGGCTACCTTGAGGTACATCAGACTTCACAATGCAAAACCCTCTGAGTGTAGTGGCACATACTTTTAATTCCAGCACTCAGGAGGCAGAGGCAGGAAGATCACTTGTGAGTTTGAGGCCAGTCTGATCTGTATATCAAGTTCCAGGCCAGCTAGGGCTGCATAGTGAGGCCCTGTCTCAAAAACAAACAACCCACTCCCCCAATCCAAAACATAAAACCCAATACAATAAAATAGTACCATACTTTATCTTGCTCCATGTCATAAGCATATCTTTAGATAGTCATTGAAAATGTTTTGGATATATGGAGATAACATTATATACTTTAGGTTTTTTAGGTTTTTTTTTTTTTTTTTTAAAGCCTTTCCATTCTGATTTTTTAAAATTTTATGTGTATGAGTGTAATGCCTTCATGTAGGTAGGTGCACCTGTGTTGTGCAGTGCCCACGGAGGTCAGAAGTGGGTGTTGGATCCCCTGGAATTGGAATTGTTAGCTGTTGTGTGGGTACTGGGTCTTGAACCTGGAAACTCTTTCATTATTTTTATTTTTTATGTGTATGAGTGTATTGCCTGCATGTAAGTAAGTGCACCTGTATTGTGCAGTGCCTCGGAGGTCAGAAGAGGGCTTTGGATTCCCGTGGAACTGGAGTTAAGGGCGGTTCGCAGCTGCCATGTGGTTGCTGGGAGTCAAACCCTAGTCCTCTGCAAGAGCAGTCAGTACTCTTAACCACTAAGCCATCTCTCCAGCCCGGAACCCAGGAACTCTTAACCGCTGATCTATCTCTCTATCCCCCACATTCTGATTTTTCTTTATTTGATGAAGCTATAAATTATGCTTCCTTACTGACTTCCCATACCTAGGTAATACTACACCTCCCAAGCCTGTTTCCTGATTTTAAAACAAACTGGTGTCTTCCCTGTGGAACTGTTTGAAGATTAAGTTGATACTTAAAAATGTATCTCTCACCCCCACCCCCACAAAGGGAAGCTAGCTAGTGCCACTTACCCCAAACCTGGTGTTTTGTTTAGCTGTATTTCTTTTTTTGTTTGTTTGTTTTTTGGTCTTTTTGAGACAGGGTCTCTCTGTAGCCCCAGCTGACCTGGAACTTGCTCTGTAGACCAGGCTGGCCTTGAACTCACAGAGATCCGCCTGCCCTGAGTGCTGGGATTAAAGGCGTGCACCACCACACCCAGCTTTTAGCTGTATTTCTTTTCTTTCTCTTCTAGTGATAGTCTTTCACCATGAATCGGAAGAAGGTGGATAACAGAATCCGGATTCTCATTGAGAATGGCGTCACTGAGCGGCAGAGGTCTCTGTTTGTTGTAGTTGGAGATCGAGGAAAAGATCAGGTAAGACCTGGTGGATGACTTCCTGAGTCACTTTGTGTCCTGTTCCAAAGAGTCAGCAAGTTATCTAGGCCCTCTGGGTTTTCAGCAAATAATGACATTAGGATTCCTTTGGCTGGTAAGGTGCCTGGTGGAAATCTTAGTTTCCTGGAGGTAGAAATTCCCTTTATTTAGATTCCTGAGCAGGCAAGCCAATGCCTTAAGGATCCTGGAATGATGGATTGACCTCAAGGTTAAGTATATGTGGCCTAGCTTCTAGTTCCCCTCTGGTTACTTGCCTTGTGACCTTGGGTGTCTTCCTTTGCTGCTTGGCACTTTAATGTCTGCCTATGCCAACAGGGATCTGGCCGGCCCTATGTTCTCTTTAACCCTGAAGTTCTGTGATTCTTCTTCTTTGGCAGGTGGTCATACTCCATCATATGTTGTCCAAAGCAACTGTGAAGGCCCGGCCTTCGGTCCTGTGGTGTTATAAGAAAGAGCTGGGGTTTAGCAGGTAAGCTTGGCCCTTGGCTGTCTCATCCCATGCTCAGTTCCTACCTTTTAGTTAAATGGCAGGAGAAAATTCCTTGACATAGTTTTCGAGGATCACCTCTGTTCAGGCCAGCATTTGCTGTCATTACTGTTGCCAGCTCTTCCTGTAGCCCCAGCTGACCTGTCACCCACTATGTAGACCAGGCTGGCCTTGAACTCACAGAGATCTGCTTGCCTGTGCCTCCCAAGTGCTGGAACTGAAGCCATGTGTCACCATGCCTGGCACAACAGAAGCATTTTGTACTTCCTAGCCACCCTTTGCTGTCTGGCTTCTGCTTCTATGATCACATTGTGCTTGTAGGCATTACTAGAGGTTTGGTTCCTAAGGCAATGAGTTTCCCTCCTCTTTGGAGGTCTTAGAGCAGTTCATTCTTGTATTTGACAGTTGGTTGTTGCCTTATTCTCATACCCCTTTCTTTTGTGATCCTGGGGACTGAACACAGGGTTTCATTCATTCCTGGTGAGTGCTCTACCACCAAGTTACATCCCAGCCTCTGTCTCTTTTTTTTTTTTTTTTTTTTTTTTTGGCCTTTTTGAGACAGGGTCTTCCTGTAGCTCTAGCTGGCCTGGAACTCACTATGTAGACCAGGCTGGCCTGGAACTCTGTCTCTGAGTGCTGGGACTAAAGGCATGAGCCACCACTCACGGGCCAGCCTCCTCTCTTATTTTCTGGAGATGTGGTAGTCAAGACTTCTAGTGGTGGGACTGGAGAGATGCCTCAGTGGTTAAGAGTGCTTGCTGTAAAATCATGAGGACTGTATAGTTTGGACCCTTGCAGCCATGCCACAAAGCAAACAAGCCACGTATTCTGAAAATGCCTGTAACTGCAGTTCCAAGGGATCTAGCACCCTCTTCTGACTTCCCTTCTTCCCCATGTGCATGTGTGTGGGCATGTGCAGTGAAAGAGACTGGCACAAATAAGTTGTTAAAGAAAAGAGTTCTCTAACACAGACACATTTAAGTATTTTGGGACTATTTGGAAATACAAGGGATAATTCAGGGCCTAAGGGGCTAAGGTGTCAGCTCTGCGTAGGGGTTGTCTGGAGCCACAGTGTGTCAGTGTCTTATTTCTGCAAATAGGCTCTTTGCTTTCTCACTGTAGATTATCTCTTTTCTCCTGTCTTTCTAGCAGAAACATGTCTTGAGCTTCATATGTTTCAGGACCAACCATGTAGAAGTCAGACTTTTTCCCAAAATTCTTGTGGAATGATACTCCTAAGGTGGGATATCACAGTATATCATAGTAAAAGGGTCAGTCACATGGTAGAAACCTGGCAGTTCTCCTGTAACTGCAGGAATTGGAGAGGGAGTTGGCAGCACTCTTTCTTGACAGATAACCCAGTCTGTGGTCACCTGTGGGGTGCCTTCTTTCATGGCTTCTGTGTGCTTGCTCAGACCACCTTCCTGAGCTCCTTCTCTACCCTAACTGACTTAGCACGTTCAATTCTCCGGATGGGCCTCACCTGCTTGTGAGTCCCAAGTGTGCTCAGCTTTGCTGCCATCTTCAGGTCCTGGCCCTGTCTGCAACTTCTCCGTGCTGTGACAGAGCTCCCAGCTCTTGAGCTGAGACTGTCATTTCCACCTCTGACATAATTTTGTGGGTCTGCCTTCTCCATGAAGCTCGCCCTTCCCTTCCTTCCTTCCTTCCTCCCTCCCTCCCTCCCTCCCTCCCTCCCTC